CTAAACTTCCCTTGCTGCAACTTGAGACCATTGCTCCTTCGTCTGTCATCTGTCACCACTGAGAACAGTCTAGCTCCATCCTCTTTGGAATCCTCCTTCAGGTAGGTGAAGGTTGCTATTAAATCCCCTCCTCTTCTCTAGACTAAATAAGCTCAGTTAGTTAAGTCTGAACTGAACACAATACTCCAGATATGGCCTCACCAGTGCTGAATAGAGGGGAATAATCACTTCCCTTGCGCTACTGACAACACACCTACCAATGCAGCTCAGTATGCCATTAGCCTTCCTGGCCACAAGGGCACACTACAGCACACTGTTGACTCATATTCTGTTTATTGTCCACTGTAATCCCCAGGTCCTTTTCTGCAGAGCTACTTCCTAGCCAGTCAGTCCCCAACCTGTACTGATGCATGGGATGGTTCTGTCCTAAGTGCAGAATGTTGCATTTGTCCTTGGTGAAACTCATGAGATTCCTTTTGGCCCAATCCTTCAATTTGTCTAGGTCGCTCTAAGTACTAGCCCTACCCTCCACCGTATCTGCTACTCCTCCTATCCCTACCCTCCAGTGTACCTACTACTCCCCACAGCTTGGTGACATCTGCAGACTTGCTGAGGGTGCACTGTATACCATCTTCCAGGTTGTTGATGAAGACATTGAATAAAACCAGCCCCAGGACCAACCCCTGGGGTGCTTCACTTGATACCAGCTACCAACTAGACATCGACCCATTGATTACTACCCTCTGAGCCCGATGCTCCAGCCAGTTTTCTCTACACCTTACAGTACAGTCATCTAGCCCATACATCCTTAGCTTGCCTGGGAGAATGCTGTAGGAGATTGTATCAAAAGTTTTGTTAGAATCAAGGTATATCACATTGTAGCCTCCCATGCCATTCACCTGTGTGTCGAGTTCATGGGGTCTTTTCTGACTTTGCTGTTGCTTTAGGGAAGAAACAAGCTTGTTAGAGGGTTAGATTCTGGTTGGTTTCCCAGGGGGTCTCTTTTGCCATGTCTTTGTTGGAAAATTATTTTAATTGGGAGGAAGATGGTCTGTCCCATCTCTCCTGGTGCCTTCCTTCGGTCGTCCCAGTTGTTCTTCCCGCTTGGGGCTCCGCCTCCCCTACACCCCAATTAACACCAACCAAAGATGTCGTATACTGGACCACCAGAGTTGCTATCACGTGCACTTTGGTGCTTTGGCCCTTTAAATTTATGACGGTGGGATCAGGATGTTGTTTGGCTCGAGTGTTCCCTACCACCCCTTGCCTTGTTTATGCATCTTCCTGATCCTAGCCTGTCTTGTCCCCTGGTGTCTCGCTCCCTATTTGGGCCTTATATTTGCCACGGGTCAGCCTTCTGTCGATCCTTGCCCTACTTGGTGCTGCCGGAATCCAGTCTGTGCTGTGGATGTCCAATATCCACAAAGTCTCTATAGGTAAGTCATCAAGCCTTCTCTGGCCCTGAGTATTTGAGAAAACCCCTTCCTGGGGCAGCCACCAAGTCCCTGTGCTGGGAGTGGGATCTGGATCTGACCTCACTTCTGGTTCTCCCTGCTGGTCTCTCACCATGCTTTTTATCCTGGCCTCAGGGGTCCGGACAGCTATCGGCCCCGGCACACCACCACAAAGCGTGCCCATGCCCACATGGGAGCCGATCCTGGCTTCTTCTGGCTTGGCCATTTTTTTTCCTTTTTTTCCTTTACCCTAGTGTCTCCACCCACCACGGTTTCACTTTTGACATGCTGCGGTTCCAGCGTGGCATCCCGCCAGCTCTGCTCCTCACCCAGCTTAGGTAAGTTTTTCCACATATCCCCCCACTTAAGTTGCCTTGTGGTGTAACGGCTTTTGGATCTCAGTCATCAGTAATCTTGACACAGGTCCTGTGCCAATCTGTCACTCCCATCTCACTCTCGTTATACCTTGATAAAAAATCCGCAACTTTATTAGTTGCTACTAGTCTGTAACTAACACTAAATTTTAAAGGTTGTGGTGATAATGTCCAACGCGTAATTTGTGCATTATCATGCCTAAATTTATTTAGCGACCCATGACTAATTTGAATTCTTGCCCCATTAAATAGTATCTGAAATAGTTTATGGTCCATTTTTTAGCCAGGCACTCCTTCTCAATAGTAGAATACCTGGTCGCAGTGGCATTTAATTTTTTACTAGCAAAGGCGATTGGTCACTCTACGCCTTTTTGATCCTGACATAGCACCGTACCTACAGCAGTCTCGGACACATCCGTCTGCAGGATAAAAATTTTAGAGAAATCAGGCATAACTACTACCACATCATTACACAGGGCTCTTTTGATATCCTTAAAAGCTTTCTCCAGTTGAGGAATCCACCGTATGAGACCCTGGACCTTCCCCCTTATTGCGTCTGTTTATGTTGCTGCTTTTTCCATGAAATGTGGAATAAATCTCCTATAATAGTTAGCCAGCCCCAGGAAAGATCTCATCTGTCACTTAGTCTGGGGTGGTAAATAATTTTCTATCATCTCTATCTTTCTGGCCAGTGGACATATGATTCCCTGTCCCACTCTACATCCTAGGTAATTGGTTTCTTGTATTCCAAGAGCATACTTCTTGGGGTTGACCATCATCCCTATCTGGTGAAGTTCTCGCAGCACCTCTTTCACACGTCGTAGATGTTGCCCCCAGGATTGTGAGTATGTATATAATGATGTCGTCGATATAAGCAGTGGTGGACATCATGTGCAGGGCGAGGATGTGGTTCATGAGTCACTGAAATGTCACCTCAGCTCCATGTAGGCCAAACAGCATCCTTGTAAATTCAAATAGGCCCCAGGGCATACCGAAGGCAGTTTTCTGTTGGTCCTTCTCCGCCATAGGTATTTGCCAATACCCTTTTGAAACATTGATTGTGGAAATATAACAAGCCTGGTCTATCCTCTCTAATAGTTCCTCCAAATGTGGCATAGGAAATGCATCAAATCTGGCGACTTCATTAATTTTCCTGAAGTTGATACATATTCAAAGGGACCCATCAATTTTGGGTAGTATTACCATGGGGCTCCACCATGGACTGTGTGAAGGTACAATGATCCCTTGTGCCAACATCTTCTGTGTTTCCTGACATACCCTTTCCTGTAAGTCATGAGGAATGGGCCTCCATCTTTCTTGGATGATGGTTCCCTTTGGGGTATAGATCTCATGTCTCACCCCTTGTGCCCATCCAGGCTTTTCATTAAACACATTATTGAATTCCTCTTTAAGCATTCGTAAGTGTTTGGGTTGCTCCTCATTAAGCCTGGTCCTTGTGTTAGTTGACTACTCTGGACTACCTTCCCTTGCTGGTCTTCTACCTCAGGTCCTAGTTCCTCCCATGGATCCTCTGGGTTCAGCATCCAACCTTCAGGTTCCTGCCAGACTTTCAACAAATTAATGTGGTAAATTTGTCGCTCTTTCCTGTGCCCTGGATGGTATACTTCATAGTCTACAGGATTGGCTTTTTGCACCTTCTTGAATGGTCCCTGCCAACGTGTTAATAACTTGTCTGCTGTAGTAGGAAGTAATACAAGAACTTTGTCCCCTACATGGAAGTCTCATACATGGGTCCTTCTGTCATACTCCCATTTTTGCCTCTGTTGGGCCTCTGCTAGATTTTTCTGGTCCAGCTGCCTAGCTTTTTCAAGTCGGTCTACCGTCTCTTGCCTGTGACGCTGCACCCCAACTTCTTGCTGGCCTGTGCTCTCCCATTCCTCTCTCATTTCCTGTAACAAACCCCATGGCTTATGGCCCTATATTAACTCGAACGGGGACAATTTCATGGGTGTCTGTGGCGTGTCTCTTAAAGCAAAAAAGGAGAAGTGTC